AACACATTATTCCTGCAGTCAACATTGTTAAAATTCACAGACCTGGTAGAATTCCAAACGGCACAAATCATGTTTAAGGCTAATCATAACGTTTTACCGGGAAACATCCAAAAAGTATTCACTCAACAAGTGGGGGGATATAGTTCAAGGAGACCATTTCAATTCAAAATTCATAGGGTCCGTACAACCAGAAGAACTTTTTGTATCTCAGCCTGTGGAGTAAGACTATGGAACAGTGTGAACGTGGAGTGAGACTATGGAACAGTGTGAACGTGGAGTGAGACTATGGAACAGTGTGAACGTGGAGCGAGACTATGGAACAGTGTGAACGTGGAGTGAGACTATGGAACAGTGTGAACGTGGAGCGAGACTATGGAACAGTGTGAACGTGGGAGTGAACTATGGAAACAGTGTGAACGGTGGAGTGAGAACTATGAACAGTGTGAACGTGGAGTGAGACTAGGAACAGTGTGAAGGTGGAGTGAGACTATTGAACAGTGTGAACGTGGAGTGAGACTATGGAAACAGTGCTTGAACGTGGAGTGAGACTATGGAACAGTGTGAACGGGAGTGAGACTATGGAACAGTGTGACGTGGAGTGAGACTATGGAACAGTGTGAACGTGGAGTGAGACTATGGAACAGTGTGAATGTGGAGTGAGACTATGAACAGTGTGAACGTGGAGTGAGACTATGGAACAGTGTGAACGTGGAGTGAGACTATGGAACAGTGTGAACGTGGAGTGAGACTATGGAACAGTGTGAACGTGGAGTGAGACTATGGAACAGTGTGAACGTGGGAGTGAGACTATGGAACAGTGTGTAAGTGAGTGGAGTGAGACTATGGAACAGTGTGAACGTGGAGTGAGACTATGGAACAGTGTGAACGTGGAGTGAGACTATGGAACAGTGTGAATGTGGAGTGAAACTATGGAACAGTTTGAATGTGGAGTGAGACTATGAAACAGTGTGAATGTGGAGTGAGACTATGGAACAGTGTGAACGTGGAGTGAGACTATGGAACAGTGTGAACGTGGAGTGAGACTATGGAACAGTGTGAACGTGGAGTGAGACTGGAACAGTGTGAATGTGGAGTGAGATTATGAAACAGTGTGAATGTGGAGTGAGACTATGGAACAGTGTGAACGTGGAGTGAGACTATGGAACAGAGTGAATGTGGAGTGAGACTATGGAACAGAGTGAATGTGGAGTGAGACTATGGAACAGTGTGAACGTGAAGTGAGACTATGGAACAGTGTGAATGTGGAGTGAGACTATGGAACAGTGTGAACGTGGAGTGAGACTATGGAACAGTGTGAATGTGGAGTGAGACTATGGAACAGTGTGAACGTGGAGTGAGACTATGGAACAGTGTGAACGTGGAGTGAGACTATGGAACAGTGTGAACGTGGAGTGAGACTATGTAACAGTGTGAACGTGGAGTGAAACTATGGAACAGTGTGAACGTGGAGTGAGACTTTGGAACAGTGTGAACGTGGAGTGAGACTATGGAACAGTGTGAACGTGGAGTGAGACTATGGAACAGTGTGAACGTGGAGTGAGACTATGGAACAGTGTGAATGTGGAGTGAGACTATGGAACAGTGTGAATGTGGAGTGAGACTATGGAACTGAGTGAATGTGGAGTGAGACTATGGAACAGTGTGAATGTGGAGTGAGACTATTGAACAGTGTGAACGTGGGGTGAGACTATGGAACAGTGTGAATGTGGAGTGAGACTATGGAACAGTGTGAACGTGGAGTGAGACTATGGAACAGTGGGAATGTGGAGTGAGACTATGGAACAGTGTGAACGTGGAGTGAGACTATGGAACAGTGTGAATGTGGAGTGAGACTATGGAACAGTGTGAATGTGGAGTGAGACTATGGAACAGAGTGAATGTGGAGTGAGACTATGGAACAGTGTGAACGTGGAGTGAGACTATGGAACAGTGTGAACGTGGAGTGAGATTATGGAAGTGTGAATGTGGAGTGAGACTATGGAACAGTGTGAACGTGGAGTGAGACTATGGAACAGTGTGAATGTGGAGTGAGACTATGGAACAGTGTGAAAGTGGAGTGAGACTATGGAACAGTGTGAACGTGGAGTGAGACTATGGAACAGTGTGAATGTGGAGTGAGATTATGGAACAGTGTGAACGTGGAGTGAGACTATGGAACAGTGTGAATGTGGAGTGAGACTATGTAACAGTGTGAACGTGGAGTGAGACTATGGAACAGTGTGAACGTGGAGTGAGACTATGGAACAGTGTGAACGTGGAGTGAGACTATGGAACAGTGTGAACGTGGAGCGAGACTATGTAACAGTGTGAATGTGGAGTGAGACTATGGAACAGTGTGAACGTGGAGTGAGATTATGGAACAGTGTGAACGTGGAGTGAGACTATGGAACAGAGTGAATGTGGAGTGAGACTATGGAACAGTGTGAATGTGGAGTGAGACTATGGAACAGTGTGAATGTGGAGCGAGACTATGGAACAGTGTGAATGTGGAGTGAGACTATGGAACAGTGTGAACGTGGAGTGAGACTATGGAACAGTGTGGATGTGGAGTGAGACTATGGAACAGTGTGAACGTGGAGTGAGACTATGGAACAGTGTGAACGTGGAGTGAGACTATGGAACAGTGTGAACGTGGAGTGAGACTATGGAACAGTGTGAACGTGGAGTGAGACTATGGAACAGTGTGGATGTGGAGCTAAAGCGATGTCCAGACATTAACCAGTTCAAGAGGAAATACAGAGAAATTATTTTCTCGAGGTACAGGGATGGGGAAGGTGTTTGGCTATTTGTATATGTGTGAGTATGTAGGTGTGCATATATGTATATCAGTGTATGTATATGTGTATATATATATGTCAATCAACAGGTAAAGCCGATTAATAATACTAATAATATCAATAATAATGCATAAAAATGATAATTATTGCAGATTACAGATTATAAATAAATCATTTAGGGACAAGGGGGTGAGATTAAATAAATTATACTTCTTCTCACTCCTTTTCGAACATTAGATGTGGCACTGTTTATGTTGCTAATGCTGTTGTTGTTGTTGTAAATGTCATTTTTTGTTTTGTCATTTTTTTGTTTTGATTTGTCTTACATGACTATGCACTGCACCATTTGTTTTGTTTTTGTAATTTTACTTGTTCGAAATAAAATATATCAATCAATCAATCAAATATTGTGCCGTTACCTTTTGTCCTGGATGTGACCCACCACTCTGTGCAGCTCTTTCCCAAACATGCCCACCGGTTTGAAGTTCAACACACACTTATCTCCCGTGCTGATGAGGTACAAACGGAAAATATGTCAAATAAACAACCAGTAATCGGACCAGTGTGTGATCCTGCATTTATCTTCGTTCACCTGTGGTTGATTATCTCCACGGTTCCGTACTGCTCGATCCAGAGTTTTCCCAGGATGATGTTGTGCACGCAGCACATCGGGTTCGTCCACGTGTACGCTTCTTTATGTCTGCAGGAAATACATACTGTTAGAGCCAGTGTTTTGTTTTTATAAGAAAGGCCACCTAATCGTGACGTCTGTAGTCAACCAGAGTATAAAAGACTACAATTCCCACGCCACCTCCTCTGAAGTGACTATGGGAAAGCTGTCAGAAAGACGCCGTTGAGGAACCGTTTTTAACCGTTCAATTACCCTTTAAGTTATGAAGTGATATAAGCCTTAACAAGACAGAAAGAATAGCTAAGTTGTTTGTTATTTAATTTGAGTTTTGCCTTTGTTTTGACTATTGTAAAGACCTCTTTTCTTTGTTGCATTTGTAAAAGATTGTTATTTGATTTTGAGCAAAAATCTCTCGTCTCTTCAACTGTAAGTAATATAAAGGAAAGAAAACGAGTCAAAAATGTCTGTTTAAGGCGTCTAGTGGCTTGATAGATAAACAAGGAAGGACGCCAGGAGGACACATACACTTTAAAAAGAATAAGATCAATATCTTGCTTAAATACATTTATTTTGTCTCGTCTAATAATATGAAGCAGCCACTTAGCTTAGCATTAAGATGGTAAACATGGAGAAACAGCTAACCTAGATCTGTTAGCACCTCAGAAGCTAATAGGTACGAAGTGCAAAAAGGTAATTTATTGACGGTTAAAGTCGTTGTGGTGAATTTTAATTAGTGAGCTTTTTAGATGATAGATTTTGTTACCTTTGTGCAGCAACAGGTTAGCTGTTCCCAGTCTTTATGCTAAGCTAAGCTACACATAAATGCTGCTTGTAGCTTCATATATAAAACAGACAGATATATGAATCTTCTTGTTTAAAGTTCTGTATTAAAGGAAATAAATGTGTTTCCTTGAATATGGAACTGTTGCGTTAAAGATTTCTTCAAATAAGTGCCACTAAAATGCAGAATAACAAATTATTTTAGGAAAAGCCTCATTCTTAATGCAAACAGACACCCAGAGGTGGGAAGTAGCAGAGTACAAATACTTTGTTACTGTACTTAAGTACATGTTTCTAGTATCAGTACTTTACTCCACTACTTATTTTTACGACAATTGTTTACTTCTTACATGTTGAACTCAAATACCTGTACTTTCTACTTCTTACATTTTGAACCCAAATACCTGTACTTTCTACTTCTTACATGTTGAACTCAAATACCTGTACTTTCTACTTCTTACATGTTGAACTCAAATACCTGTACTTTCTACTTCTTACATGTTGAACACAAATACCTGTACTTTCTACTTCATACATGTTGAACTCAAATACCTGTACTTTCTACTTCTTACATGTTGAACTCAAATACCTGTACTTTCTACTTCTTACATTTTGAACCCAAATACCTGTACTTTCTACTTCTTACATGTTGAACTCAAATACCTGTACTTTCTACTTCTTACATTTTGAACCCAAATACCTGTACTTTCTACTTCTTACATGTTGAACACAAATACCTGAACTTTCTACTTCTTACATGTTGAACACAAATACCTGTACTTTCTACTTCTTACATGTTGAACTCAAATACCTGAACTTTCTACTTCTTACATGTTGAACACAAATACCTGTACTTTCTACTTCTTACATGTTGAACTCAAATACCTGTACTTTCTACTTCTTACATGTTGAACACAAATACCTGTACTTTCTACTTCTTACATGTTGAACACAAATACCTGTACTTTCTACTTCTTACATGTTGAACACAAATACCTGTACTTTCTACTTCTTACATGTTGAACACAAATACCTGAACTTTCTACTTCTTACATGTTGAACACAAATACCTGTACTTTCTACTTCTTACATGTTGAACTCAAATACCTGAACTTTCTACTTCTTACATGTTGAACACAAATACCTGTACTTTCTACTTCTTACATGTTGAACTCAAATACCTGTACTTTCTACTTCTTACATGTTGAACACAAATACCTGTACTTTCTACTTCTTACATGTTGAACTCAAATACCTGTACTTTCTACTTCTTACATGTTGAACTCAAATACCTGTACTTTCTACTTCTTACATGTTGAACACAAATACCTGAACTTTCTACTTACATGTTGAACACAAATACCTGAACTTTCTACTTCTTACATGTTGAACACAAATACCTGTACTTTCTACTTCTTACATGTTGAACTCAAATACCTGTACTTTCTACTTCTTACATTTTGAACCCAAATACCTGTACTTTCTACTTCGAACATGTTGAACACAAATACCTGTACTTTCTACTTCTTACATTTTGAACCCAAATACCTGTACTTTCCACTTCTTACATGTTGAACTCAAATACCTGTACTTTCTACTTCGAACATGTTGAACACAAATACCTGTACTTTCTACTTCGAACATGTTGAACACAAATACCTGTACTTTCTACTTCTTACATTTTGAACCCAAATACCTGTACTTTCTACTTCTTACATGTTGAACACAAATACCTGAACTTTCTACTTCTTACATGTTGAACACAAATACCTGTACTTTCTACTTCTTACATGTTGAACTCAAATACCTGTACTTTCTACTTCTTACATGTTGAACACAAATACCTGTACTTTCTACTTCTTACATGTTGAACACAAATACCTGAACTTTCTACTTCTTACATGTTGAACACAAATACCTGTACTTTCTACTTCTTACATGTTGAACACAAATACCTGTACTTTCTACTTCTTACATGTTGAACTCAAATACCTGTACTTTCTACTTCTTACATTTTGAACCCAAATACCTGTACTTTCTACTTCTTATGTGTTGAACTCAAATACCTGTACTTTCTACTTCTTACATGTTGAACTCAAATACCTGTACTTTCTACTTCTTACATGTTGAACACAAATACCTGTACTTTCTACTTCTTACATGTTGAACACAAATACCTGAACTTTCTACTTCTTACATGTTGAACACAAATACCTGTACTTTCTACTTCTTACATGTTGAACTCAAATACCTGTACTTTCTACTTCTTACATGTTGAACACAAATACCTGTACTTTCTACTTCTTACATGTTGAACTCAAATACCTGTACTTTCTACTTCTTACATTTTGAACCCAAATACCTGTACTTTCTACTTCTTACATGTTGAACACAAATACCTGTACTTTCTACTTCTTACATGTTGAACTCAAATACCTGTACTTTCTACTTCTTACATGTTGAACTCAAATACCTGAACTTTCTACTTCTTACATGTTGAACACAAATACCTGTACTTTCTACTTCTTACATGTTGAACTCAAATACCTGTACTTTCTACTTCTTACATGTTGAACACAAATACCTGTACTTTCTACTTCTTACATGTTGAACTCAAATACCTGTACTTTCTTCTTCTTACATGTTGAACTCAAATACCTGTACTTTCTACTTCTTACATGTTGAACACAAATACCTGTACTTTCTACTTCTTACATGTTGAACTCAAATACCTGTACTTTCTACTTCTTACATGTTGAACTCAAATACCTGTACTTTCTACTTCTTACATGTTGAACTCAAATACCTGTACTTTCTACTTCTTACATGTTGAACTTAAATACCTGTACTTTCTACTTCTTACATGTTGAACACAAATACCTGTACTTTCTACTTCTTACATGTTGAACACAAATACCTGTACTTTCTACTTCTTACATGTTGAACACAAATACCTGTACTTTCTACTTCTTACATGTTGAACTCAAATACCTGTACTTTCTACTTCTTACATGTTGAACACAAATACCTGTACTTTCTACTTCTTACACTTTGAACACAAATACCTGTACTTTCTACTTCTTACATGTAGAACACAAATACCTGTACTTTCTACTTCTTACATGTTGAACTCAAATACCTGTACTTTCTACTTCTCTCATTTCCCAAACAGCTGGTTCCTTTAGTCTGAATGTGTGTTTGGTGCGTGATCATTATTATTTAGAGTCATTGCGTGCCTATTGATTTGAACACGATCCGTGTATCCATCATTTCCTGGTCTTCTTTAAAGAAGAGGGACCAATGGAAACGTTGTCATGTTGCCGTTGTTCAGCATGGAAACATTCATTAGCTAACAATGACATTATTGTTCTATTAATATAAAGGGAGGTCAGGTACTCTTTAAAAACAGCTGCTAGTTATGGGTACTTTTTACTGAAGTACATTTCAAAGCCTCTTTACTTTTACTTGAGTAAAGAAGTTTAGTCAGTGCTTCTACTTTTACCAGAGTATTTTTAAACACGAGTATCTGTACTTCTACTTGAGTAAAGGATGTGTGTGCTCTTCACTCACTTGAGCAGCTCCAGGGTCATGGTGCCTTTGGGCTCGGCCTCCACACTTTTTCCCCAGAACTTGAGTTTGGGGTCGATGGATCCGTGAAACTCGAACTCGTGCTTCAGAGACTGAGCGTGGAAAGCACTGACGGGGGGGTGGTGGCTCACCTGCTCCGAGATCAACCTGTAGCCCTCCTCCTCCCTGTGAGAAACACAAGTGTATTTATTATAGCACCTTTTCACAGAAATAATGGCCTATAACTCCACACACACTCAGACACTCAAATCCAGCACCAGACACTTTTGTTTACGCTGCTATGGACAATCTTGCACTAATGTACATTCCCAAATATATTGATGTGACTGTTATTTTGTATATATTGATTGTTGTGTTTATATCTTAATATGTGCAGATGTGTCTGTTGATTATAGGATATTAGGGGTGGGGGAAATAATCGATGCAGCATAGTACTTTGCGTGGCGATATTGTATCGATACACGGACGCCAAGTATCGATATTTTATTATATAAACTGTAGCTTATCCCTCCGAAAGACGGTTAAACATAAACATAACACATTTACATAAACTAGTCATATTGCAAATACATTTTTTAACCAGGAAGGGAAGACTGACATGGATATGAGTCATGTGATTTGCAATATATCGTATCGCAATACTCAGCATATCGTAGAATCGCAATACTATTGTATCATGGCTTAAGTATTGCGATAGTATCATCGTATCGTGGCTTAAGTATCGCAATAGTATCGTGGCTTAAGTATCGCAATACTATTGTATCAAGGCTTAAGTATTGCAATACTATTGTATCGAGGCTTAAGTATTGCAATACTATTGTATCGTGGTTTAAGAATCGCAATACTATTGTATCATGGCTTAAGTATTGCGATAGTATCGTCGTATCGTGGCTTAAGTATCGCGATAGTATCGTATCGTGGCTTAAGTATCGCAATACTATTGTATCGAGGCTTAAGTATTGCAATTCTATTGTATCGAGGCTTAAGTATCGCAATACTATTGTATCGAGGCTTAAGTATTGCAATACTATCGTATCGTGGCTTAAGTATCGTAATACTATTGTATCGAGGCTTAAGTATTGCAATACTATTGTATCGAGGCTTAAGTATTGCAATACTATCGTATCGTGGCTTAAGTATCGCAATACTATTGTATCGAGGCTTAAGTATTGCAATACTATTGTATCGTGGTTTAAGAATCGCAATACTATTGTATCATGGCTTAAGTATTGCGATAGTATCATCGTATCGTGGCTTAAGTATCGCGATAGTATCATCGTATCGTGGCTTAAGTATCGCGATAGTATCGTATCGAGGCTTAAGTATCGCAATACTATTGTATCGAGGCTTAAGTATCGCAATACTATTGTATCGAGGCTTAAGTATCGCAATACTATTGTATCGAGGCTTAAGTATCGCAATACTATCGTATTGTGGCTTAAGTATCGCAATACTATTGTATCGAGGCTTAAGTATCGCAATACTATTGTATCGAGGCTTAAGTATCGCAATACTATTGTATCGAGGCTTAAGTATTGCAATACTATCGTATCGTGGCTTAAGTATCGCAATACTATTGTATTGTGGCTTAAGTATCGCAATACTATTGTATCGAGGCTTAAGTATCGCAATACTATTGTATCGAGGCTTAAGTATCGCAATACTATTGTATCGAGGCTTAAGTATTGCAATACTATCATATCGTGGCTTAAGTATCGCAATACTATTGTATCGAGGCTTAAGTATCGCAATACTATTGTATCGAGGCTTAAGTATCGCAATACTATTGTATCGAGGCTTAAGTATCGCAATACTATTGTATCGAGGCTTAAGTATTGCAATACTATCGTATCGTGGCTTAAGTATCGCAATACTATTGTATCGAGTCTTAAGTATCGCAATACTATTGTATCGAGGCTTAAGTATCGCAATACAATAGTATCGTGGTTTAAGAATCGCAATACTATTGTATCGAGGCTTAAGTATTGCAATACTATCGTATTGTGGCTTAAGTATTGCAATACTATCGTATTGTGGCTTAAGTATCGCAATACTATTGTATCGAGGCTTAAGTATTGCAATACTATCGTATCGTGGCTTAATTATTGCAATAGAATCGTATTGTGGTTTAAGAATCGCAATACTATCGTATTGTGGTTTAAGAATCGCAATACTATTGTATCGAGGCTTAATTATCGCAATACTATTGTATCGAGGCTTAAGTATTGCAATACTATCGTATTGTGGCTTAAGTATCGCAATACTATTGTATCGAGGCTTAACTATTGCAATAGTATCGTATCGTGGTTTAAGAATCGCAATACTATTGTATCGAGGTTTAAGTATCGCAATACTATCGTATCGTGGCTTAATTATTGCAATAGTATCGTATCGTGCCTTAAGAATCGCAATACTATTGTATCGTGGCTTAAGAATCGCAATACTATTGTATCGTGGCTTAAGTATCGCAATACTTGATTGATTCCCACCCCTATAGGATATACATATTTGTATATTTTTATAATTTTATTTCTGTATTCGGGATTGTTGGAAACATTATTTCGATCTCTCTGTCTGTGCACACAAACTGAAAGATTGACATTAAAGTTGACTTTGAAATAGAACAAAAGTTAAAATTGAGACCACAGAAACATGAACACAATAACAACATGGAGGCAGAAATGTAAGGTCAACATAAAAACAAAGCACAGACCACGCGGAGTCCCGAAAGGAACAAACATACGAGCAGAACACATCACACACATCTCAAGTAGTAACCGAAGCCAATGGGTTAAAAACATGCGATAATGTTCTGTAAAGTGTTAAGAAGTGCTCTCTGATACCTCATGAGTTCGTACGTTTCCCCCAGTAAAGGATTAAATGGTTTTCCAGTCCGTTCCCATTGAGATGCTACTGCCGACACAGCAAACGCAGCAACAACCTGTCACACAGTCATTTATATAAATCATCAATAAGCTTTTATAAGACATGAGATAAACAGGGCAACTGTGACCGGTTGCTTGCCAAATAGTGAGCCCACATGTATCTGTACTGCTAAGCCTTATATTGGCTACCTAGCTTACTTCGTCTTCTTCATCAGCCAGCATCCTTGGTATCTGTTGCTCACTGAGTTGATTCCCCCCCATCCATCTTGATGTTTCTTGGCATCTCTTATGACCATTTATTAATGAGTTACTAACATTTATAACTACTGAAAGGGTGCGTTGTTTTTAAGTTTAATACACATGTCCATTTATGAAACAGTTATAACATTCACGATTACCTAATAAGGGCGACTGTGGCTGCGAGGGAGTGCGGTCGTCTTTCAACCAGACGGTTGTTGGTTCGATCCCAGCCCATGCAGCCAACATATCGATGTATCCTTGGGCAAGATACTCAACCCTGAGTTGCTCCAGATGGCCAACTGTGTGTGAATGTTAGGTCCTAGAGTAAAGTACACTGCTCTGTATGAATGGGTGAACGACATGTAGTATGTAAAGCGCTTTGAGGGGTCTTAAAGACTGGATAAAGGGCTACATAAGTACAGTCCATTTACCATTTACCTAATACACATTTCTCACATGAAAAAGTAAGATGCAACAGAACCGAGCAAAACATTTTAAGTAGCCAATATAAGGCTTAGTCATCTTGCCAAATAGTAAGCCCACATGTATCTGTACTGCTAAGTGGCTACCTAGCTTACTTCGTCTCCTTCATCAGCCAGCATCCTTGGTATCTGTTGTTCACTGACTTGATGCTCACTAAGTAGCCACTATAACGCTTAGTCATCTTGCCAAATAGTGAGCCTGTGTTGATGTCTATGTTAGAACTGGTTTATAAATGGTTCTTAATGATTAATAAAGTGTTTACAACCTAATTCAGGTCTCCCTTGAAAAAGAGATCAATGATCTCAATGGGATTTATCTGTATAAATAAAGGTTTGAAATGAAATGAAATAATTATAAACCCTTTATGAATCCTTTATTAGGGTAGTCTTATTGTAAGGTGGTGCCCTTTTTTCTAATGTTATGTTAAAACTGAAAATACTAGATATTCAAACTTGGTTCATAGAAAGGTTATGCTTCATTTTGTTTTACTTCTGAGCTTTTAAGGACCAGTTACTCCATAAAGAATTATTATTATCTGTTAAATTAATAGTTGGTTATCGGCTTACTAGTTTCAAGTTTTCCTCGAGCACTTTATCTACTCTTTGCACTTTCTGGCAAACTGCCTTTCGTTGTGCAATGTACTTAAAGTTTAATCTAATCTAATCTAATAATCACAGACCAATCAATAAATGAAATGTATTTTTCATGAGAAAATGTGAAAAACTGCAGCTTAAAACCTCTTGAATGTAAAGATTTCTTGTTTCTGTGTGTTTTGAATCATATTAAAGTGAATATCTTTGGGTTTTGGAATGACAAAAAGTGACTTCTGAAGACATTACCTTTGAGAAACTGGGAGGTTAGATTTCACTATTTTATACACAAAACCTAGAAAATATCTGTATCTTCTTTAGCCATAAAATCAATGCAAGCTGGTGTGTTATAACAAGGCAGATGGAGATATGCATTCAGAGTCCTACCTGCATGCGGTCCGTGGAGTCCGACAGGCTGCAGGCCTGGTGGATGAGCTGCGTGTGCTCCATGTATTCTGAGATTCTCTGCAGGAAACTCAGCGGCTCGTTAAACACCACCGGCATCGCGATTTTAGAAAGCTCCTGCGAGAGCACAGGGGGGACAACACAGAAAAGAACGGACAATATCAGATTTAAAGTGTGACAATGTTGGGCAAAATACAAAACAAATATTCTCAATCTTTCAGCTGTAAGACAAGTGTTTCAGATAAATGTAAGTGTCATGTAGGGGTGGGTACCGAGCCCCGGTATTAAATGGGCCCCGGGGCTGAATTATTAAAGACAGTGGTACCGTTAAGCTCCGATGTTATCGGTCTTTTTATCTGAGACATTTCAAAAAGATTATTATTGCTACACAAACATTATATTGCAGTTTTAGTTTCGCCAACTCCGTTTCTAATATGCAAAATGCATCTGATGTATTTTAGATCTTTCCAATCCAGACGAGAGATCTCTCTCCCCAGTCTGTGTGCGAGGGGGCGGGGCAGTTCACACACGCGGCACACACACACACACACACACACACACCGATAAGAGTCCCGTTAAAGGACCGGGTCGATAAGCGGTATTGATAAAAGTAGTAGTACCGTTAAAACCTTAACGATACTGTTAGAAATTAAAATGTTTTATGGCATAATGTACCTTAAACGCTATTTTATTCTGGAAAAAAACGGAAGTTCTCAATACCAAGCTTTTATTCTGAAAATCCTTCATGACGACATCCGGGACTACCGTCCATTAGTATCATTAAAGTGGCTATTAACGCCGTTAACATGTATTACATATAAAGTTATGAAAGAGATAAGGAGGATGTGGAAGTAAGCAGTGAATGTAAAATGTCGAAATCCTCTGTTTGACGCAATATCGGACACAGAAGAACGAGGGGGGAAGTCTCCTACGTCACCACAGCCCCCAGAGAGGAGGAGCGAACAGCCAGCAAGCGGGAAGGACGAAGGCTTGTGGGTTCTCTTCTGGACCACAGAGAGGGAGCTCTTTACTTCCCTCTCTCTGAATCATCTTCTGCTTGTAACATTACCGCCCCATTTAATGAAATTACCATTTGAACCTTCTCAGAGACTCCATTTAGTCTCCTTTTAAAGCTTCTCTCCTGGACGCGAGAATAACGAACACAGCATAGCAATATCCATCCCTATGTTTATGTAAGCTATTTTCTTTCAGATGACAAAGAAGATGCAATCTAATAATAGCCAGCATCGCAGAGAACTGACTCATCTAGTCTCAGCTCGATGAAAGCTTAAAACAGGCACTTATTCTTTCACACACAGATACGGGTATTGGGCTGAGGGCGACACCGTACTTCCGGTATCCGCCGTTTTACGCGAGGTGCAAGCAGGCAGAGGGTTTAGCCGTACACCGTCTAGGTGTTGCTAAGCTTCCTGTACTGAATATCATAGTCTATTGCCTTAATCAATATCTAGTCAACTCTAAAATACCACATATATGCATTGGCATGATAATATTATTGTGACAAGTGGGGTATTCACCTGGTGTTTCCAGAAATTAGACGTAGATGCAGCCAAAATCGACGAAGGCCACTTTCGAGGGGTCGTTTTTCCATACATCTGCAGGCAGTCTGTAACAACCCGCACAGCTCTAGTTTACGCTGGTAACGACCTAGAGCACACCCCTCAAGTCCAGAGATGTAATCCGAAGACATGCGGCGATTTCTTCGGTCGTTAATTCAGAAAAAAAACCTAGTGCGCTCTGCCTGGCTACATAAGCTAGCTGTTTATATTTGCACCTCCAGGATATTTGCACCTCCAGGAAAATGGCGTATTTATATATATGGCGCGCGTTGCATTGTGGGTAGCTCGTGACGTCACTGTGTGTGAAATAATTTAATACTAAGAACACCTGGACCCAGAATCAGACCTCAGGTGGTAGATGTGTAGATTGCCATTCAGATGAAATGAGACGCAGGTATCATCACTCACCATGCCGATGCATTTCTTCAGTATGCTCCACACACTGAAGTTGTTTCTGGAGATCATCTCAGCAGGCAGGGTTTTCCTGGAGTGAGATTCAAACATAATGTGAAAAAAGACAAAACGTTTCACTTTTACTCCGTTAAAAACTGGCAGAATATCACCACATGTTTCTAAAGGGAGAACAGCTGAATCAAAGTCCTGACTAGCTTCACAAATGCTCTGCGGAGGAAGTGCACAGAGATGTAGACATTTATAATAATCCTTATATTTAGTTTTGCGCTTTATCAATGACCCTCAAAGCGCTTTACAAATACACATTACACTGTGGACAACACCCACAGGAGCAAGTTCAGGTGAAGTGTCTTGCCCAAGGACACACATTTCCACTTCAGTAGCACTTACACACACCAAACCTTCCAGTTATATTCCTATCAATATTCTGAAGGTTTTTACAGAAGGGTTTGTTCATATATCATTCATAGCCTGAATTATATAACATGTTATACCTAAAAACATGGCGAAAATTGATATTTTATGGCTGTTTTTTTGTATTTTCTGATTTACGGAGTGATCCAAAGAGATATCCAAAACCCCTTCTGTAAAAACGTTAGCTTCTAATATGACTACAAAATGAAACAAGAATTTCGAACCTGGCTTCATCCAATGTTCAGATTTGTGTTCCTGAAATGTATTAAAATATGCGCATATTTAATGAGAGTATGGGTCATTTGCATATTTAAACATGCTGGTCGTAATGTAAGTTATTAACTGGAAACATTTCTAGCTGATATCTTTAAGTTTAAAAAATGACCCTGTTCACCTGTAGTGTCTCGCCTTAATATTTGACACTAAGGGGGGGTTACTCGTCTGAAATGAGTTCGACGTGGTCTATTTAGGCTAAATATGTTCCCCTTAATGTCCCCAAAAGTAGAAATGGGTCCGGGTTCTTATGGCTTAAAACAACGAAGCCAATATCACGGATGACGACGACCTAATCTTTTATTTTCAAGAAAAATGTACGCTAGCACAGGGGTTCCCAAACTTTGCCATGCCAAGGACCCCATATAGCATTATTGTCTGGCGGGGACCCCCCTGTTGCAAATTTTTTTTTAAATGATGAGTACATTATGATGGAAAATATGACAAATTAATCATACAGCTTAATACATTTTCTTAATATATATTTGTATTAATAATTAATAATCAGTTATTCTTCTAAACATTTTTTGGATTTATCTTTTGTTTGTCATTCATTACATTGATTGTGTTTTCTGTTATAAACATTCTTACAATATTAAACAGTAATATCAACAGTAAACATATTTTTAAAGCATTTTTAAAGTGATTTCTGTCTTTATAATATTATATAATCTTGAACAGTAATATGAACAATTAACATATATTTTTAGCATTTTTGAAAGCTATTTATGCCTTAATAATATTATATATTATATTCAACAGTAATATTAACAATAAACATATTTATATTCATATATATAAACAACAATATTTGCTACATCCGTGCTTTCATCCGGCTGCAGAGCGAAATATTCACGAGCTCTCACTTGCTCCAAAAGCTGAGCAGATTTTCACTCTCAGTAGCGGCAGCTCGATTCTGATTCGCTTGAAGGGCGGGTCGTGAGATTTAAAAAATATATATATATATATATTAATAAGTAAAAAATATTAAAAGATTGGCATCAAAGGACACATAGATTGATAGATATGCAGTTATTAATAAAATGTAACTTTAAAAAAAAATAATTCCCCTTTCCCTCAAACTTTGCGTCCCCTGGCGGCCCCTGGCGGCCCCCCGGGGGGTCGGGCCACCACTTTGAAAAACACTGCGCTAGAGGGAGGACCAGAACATGACGGAAACAAATTTAAAACCGCTTTACAGAGATAGTGAAAAGAAAAGAAACAACAAATAAATATAGTTACATTTAAATCAAGCGATACAAAAACAATCACACATTAAAAGCCAGATTGAAGTGTTTGTGCGTTTAGTGCACGTGTCCTCACCTGCGCTCCCAAACTCCATTCTCCTGTTTGCCGTCCGTCACCTGCTTGTTTTCGAACACCAGGGCGTCTTTAAAACTGACCTCACAGGAATCATCGGACTCCAGCCCTGACGGAGAAAACCAGAGACGTTTTACTGGAACAGGTTGACTTGTGTTTGAGAGATACATTATTTGGTCATTTTTTGATATATAAAAGGCCTTGAAATGCTGTTTTCACCGTCAGATGTTAAGATGTGTTGCTTTTCTCTGTTAAATGTCATTTTTAAATACGTTTCTTTGGGTTTTGGACTGACAAAAAGTTACTTCTGAAGACATTGCCTTGGACTTTGAGAAACTGGAGGTTAGATTTCACTATTTTTGGACATTTTATACAAAAAACCTTGTTTAAGTTCTACTGTCCTACTTAGGGTTACGACGAAAGCTCATATCTAAATATCTATAATGCACTATATATTTATAAAAGCACTGTGTGTAAAAGAAAGGGAAAAAGCATTATCATTAATTAAATATTATATACATAGATAGAAAATAAGGATTTGTTTTAAATGATGACTCAATGCAACAGACCGTACACACTATAAAGTGGTGAGATAATTTACTCATAAAATTACAACAGTGTCAGAAGCACAGGTAGGAAGTAACTAAGTACATTTACTCAAGTACTGTACTTAATATAAGTACAATTTTGAGGTACTTGTACTTTACTTGAGTATGTCCATGTTATGCTACTTTGTACTTCTACTCCACTACATGTATTAATACCTTTAGTTACTTCACAGATCTGGATGAATGATGTGAAATATAATCAAGTGTTGAATCAGACTTTAGTTCCACCTGGAGTAAATCCTCAAGCTACCCTGCAGTATACAAAGCCATTCAAACTAGCTGCACCTTCACCAGCTTTGAGAACACTTTCATGATCAATTATTATAAAACATATCATATATATTATTCTGAAATGGACCAATCTGCACAACGACTACTTTTACTGTCGCTACTTTCACTATATTTTGATGAGAATACTTTTCTACTTTTACTTGAGGAACATTTTGAATGCAGGACTTTTACTGTAACAGAGTATTCCTACACTCTGGTACTTCTACTTTTACTAAGTACAAGATCTGAGTACTTCTACTTTTACTAAGTACAAGATCTGAGTACTTCTACTTTTACTCAAGTACAAGATCTGAGTACTTCTACTTTTACTCAAGTACAAGATCTGAGTACTTCTACTTTTACTCAAGTACAAGATCTGAGTACTTCTACTTTTACTAAGTACAAGATCTGAGTACTTCTACTTTTACTAAGTACAAGATCTGAGTACTTCTACTTTTACTCAAGAACAAGATCTGAGTACTTCTACTTTTACTCAAGTACAAGACCTGAGTACTTTTTCCACCTCTGTTAAAGTAAGTATCTCAACATTGTATTTAAGTACAGTACTTGAGTACATGTATTCAGTGACTTTAAACCACTGTAATGTAAAGTCCCTAGTTACTCAGTTTCCAGCAGTGATACAATAGGCAAACCTCTCACCTGTCTCAGCATCGTAAAACTCCTCCTCGCTGTTCATCCTGACAGTAAATCAGTCACCTGTTTCTGCAGCTCCGAGCATCACATCCGGCCAGAAACACCTGCAACAGCAGCGACCCGTTACACACAAGCAGGGGCAGCAAAACACCAGCAAATGCATGTTAAGAAACTAACAAAAAGCAGCTGTTTGGCTCGCTGTCAGCAGCTTTGCTAACCAAAACAAAAACAGCTAGCTGCTAGCTCGGATTAGCTAACCAGCCGTTAGCATAGCTTCTGCTAAGCTAAATTAAACATGTAGCTGGAGGAAGTGCGGCAAACAAAGCTAACAATATACACATAGATACTGTAGAGAAGATTTGAACATCGTTTGATTTAATATACCTGTGAATAAAGGTCAAATTATTGCTCAATCGAAGAGTAAACTCAATCTAAGAGTAAACTGTGTCTAACAGAGCGGAAGTGGGCGGGAAGGACACTGTGATTGACAGATCCAGCAGCCAATCAGCGCGTCCTCTCCGCCCACTTCCGGCCTGTCTTGTTCTCCATTGTTTATGTCACTGAATCAAATGAAAAAGAGTTCTAAAAATAGATGTTTTTAAATCAGATTCAATAATATGACCTTAAATCAGATACAAACAAACAAACAACTTAAATACAGGCTGAGGATTCCTGACAATAGGGTGTATTATTAGCTTTGGATCGGTTTTCTGTCTTATAAACTAGCTTCATGTGCATGGTCTCGCACACTAAATATAATTAATATCCCCCTTTTATATTGTGTTGGCTCTAATTTAACCGTCTATAGAGTTTTATTCGTCAGATAATTTACATATGTTTACTCTTTTACTTTTAGTTGTTTTATTTTTTCTATTTTGAGATGTTTATATTGTATAATTGTTTATGTTCTACTCTTGCTACTAACTGCAGTATTTTTTTAACTTTTTTAGAACATTTTAATTATCCAGAATGTTTATACTGTTGTTAATATAATATTTGTCATCTTATTTGTACTTTGAATTTTTTGTTGTTAATTCTCTGTTCCACTTTTTAACTATTTTTTACTTTATGTCTGAACACACTGATGTAACAAAATATTTCCCAGATTGGGATCAATGTAATACAGGCAGTGGCTCAGTCGGTAGGGGCTTGGACTGTGAGCCGGTTCAAGTCCCCGAACAGACCTAAGTATGGAGTGTGGACTTCTACTTGGAGAGGTCCCAGTTCACCTCCTGCCCTGCCGTGGTGCCCTTGAGCAAGGCACCGGACAACCCCCTTCCCCCCCTCACTCCCATTGCTCCCCGGGCGCTGTACAATAGCTGGCCACTGCTCCTGGTACTAGACTCCTGGTTCTAGGATGGGTTAAGACAGTGGTTCTCAAACTTTTTCTGTCAGGCCCCCCCTTTGGAGAAAAAAAAAGTCGGGCCCCCCCCAACACAAATAGTCTGGCTCAGTAGCGGCACCAGAGATTTATTTTGGGGGTGCTGTGGGGTAGCTTGACGTTTCATAGAGGGTGCTCAAACATTTAGGGTTTCCCATTAAGGTACCGGGCGCTACAGTGGAATGTTCTACTGCAACACTCCCCACGCATATACACAATTTACCCGCGACTGTTACAATGAAGTCTCGATATGCTCCCCCGGAAAGATTTTTTTTTAAATATTGAAGTTAAAAGCATTAATCTGGTGCACTTTGAGAGCAAAATGAAGAGATCTATGGATACATCTCTCAACACCCATTTGAAACAGAACTGTACACAGATTTACTTTTTCTTTATGGATATTTTACAAATCACTCCCCTTTTAAACTGTATTCTTGTTTTACTGTCATATAGTATTTCATAGCTGTTTTTAATGTATTCTCTTATTTTTGTATAACTATAATGATCATATAAACGTGTGCCTCGGAAATAATTGTTTACATTAATGGTGACCAAAACATTTGAGACCCACTGAGATAACACTGAGAGAGTCCTTTAGTTCACTGAGTCCCTCAGTCTGACAGGAGAGGACTCTCCTCCACCTTGTTGTTGAAAAAACTCCTTATATCTGTTAGCGTAGCTCGCTAGCACCAGAAGCTAACAACAACGATCTCCGGCGCGCTCTCTCTCTCTCGCGCGCACGCACACAAAATGGCTCGTTCCACACGCACACAGAGCCGAGCTTTAATGAAACACAGAGACCCAGACGTAATAGTACTGTATCGTATTATTTTCGAATCAATACTTTTTCAAAATATGATTTTTTTTATTTTTTATTTTTAATAATAATAAAAAACATTTTTCCTCCTGGTCTCTCGCGCCCCCCCTGTCATGCCTCTGCGCCCCCCTGGGGGGGGGTGCGCCCCCCACTTTGAGAACCACTGGGTTAAGAGAACACATTTCACTGTGTGTGTGCTCTGCATGTGAGACCATTACAGAGGGTTTTGTATTTAGCTGTAGTTCCATTATTAATCCACAAGGTGGCAGCTTTGGACCTTTTAACAATTACCCCTGATTTACAAAGAATCAATATTTAGGGATTTAGGGATTAAGTTGTAACATTATAAATATATGTGACGGTGTGGTGTAGGTAAGAGTTTGTGTTGCCAACAACGCCACCTAAGGGAGTTTCACCCTATAGGAACTAACTATCGATTATAAAAGATTTAACCCACAAGGAACACAGGTTCGTTTTACATAACGGGCCAGAGACATGTTTTAGTTTTTTGTGTGCTAAATTGTGTGGAGTTTCAGCAGTGAGTGTGTCTTGTTGTTCAATAGTTAGTTCCTGGGGGTGAAACTCCCTTAGGTGGCGTTGTTGGCAACACAAACTCTTACCACACCACACCGTCACATATAGAACACATTATACTAGGCTACTAGAATTCAATTTTAAGTTACCATATGTCAACAATCAACCTGTTGGTTTCCGTTCAAATTGGTCCAATTCTAGAAAACGAAATGAAAATAATTTGTTCTTTTCTTATTATTATCTTATAAAATAAACAGTTTGGACCAAAGAAGAATAGTGTGGGAAATGTGGTTTAATGTGAAAACAATAAAGAAGTTAGACAACGTCATCCAGGGTGAATGACAGTTTTATTTTGGAATTGGGGACCGGAAGTCATTAAAAAACCAGGTTACTCCCACACTGCCGGTGACTCTCTGCGCATTTTGGGAAAGTTTTAGTCTTCAGGATGGAGAGCAACCAGTCGGATGTCTTCCAGTCACGCTTAAGCTTCTGATTCAACACCTTTTATAGAGCTGTGGAACCATAATGATCTTTTTTAACTGAATAACTTAAAAGAAGAAGAAGAAAAAGTCGTGATGTCTGCGCTCCGGAGTCAGAAACAACCCAAGGCGCAGCAGCCGGTTTACGCGCAGAGGAAGAAGAAAGATTATTCCAGAGAAGCTCACAGTGGCTCTCAGGAGGGGAAAGCACCGGGGAAAGGACCGGGGAAAGGACCGGGGAAAGGACCAGGGAAAGAGGGGAAAGAGTCCTCCGGTTCCCCCACAGAGAGGAAGCTGTCAGACGCCTCCAACACCTCGGAGGATCTGAGCAAAGACTCCGGCTGTGCGTCCGGGAAACTCTCCTCCTCCTCGGACAGCAGCTCTGAGATCTCGGATTCTTGCCCCTCGGAGGGAAACAGTAAAGAGTCTCCCAGCAGAGAATTAAGCTGGATCGACAGAGGAGCTTATCTGTGTAGGAGTGACGGGAACCCGTGCGTAAAGGGAGACTCCCAGCCGCTCAGCATGCTCCAATCTCCGGGCGGTTTTATGGATCTCATGATGGGGGAGACCACCGAGGATCTGGTGCGCGAGGTGGAGGATTTGAGATCAGAGAACGAGTATTTGAAGGTGAGTTTGATTTAAGGTGTTTATTCTGTTTGCGTAAATATAAGTGGGAGAAGTATTTAGAGTTTTGACTTAAATGGACAATGATTGTGTTAAAAAGACGAATCAATGAAGTATGTATTTGTCTCTGACACCATCAGCAGGGTTAAAGGACATGACGCAACAACCTTTTAACAACAGGATAAATGTTGGATACAAAATAAATATATTGAATCAAATCAGTCAGAAAGGGATGCAAAATGAGACCCAAAACAAGTCAACAGATGGACACAAAACAGAACTCATAAAGACTAGAAAGAATGAGCCTCAAGTTAAGAAGAAAATGAAATTATAAACTCCCACCAAACAGACACAAGAAATTAGATCTAATTTCCAAAAGGGAAATGAGACACAACAAAACTCAATTGGGAGGCCAAATGAGATTCGAAACATGACACAAAATGACCGGCAAAAAGGACAACAAACGGACACAAAATGAGACGATGAACTACTAGCACAAAGGCATGCAAAACAACAAGCAAGGTCAGCGAAATGTGGCGCAAACGGACACAAAGAAATTAGATCAAGTTACAAAAAAGGACGCAAAATGAGACACAAAGTCCCCCAATTAGGAAGTACAGGACACAGAACAGGACAACGAATGGCCACTAAATTAGACGAAAATTGAGAAGAAAGTGAAACAATGAACTACCACGAATGCAAAACAAAAAGCAAGGAAAGCTAAATGTGACACTAAAGGAGACACCAAACAAATTCAAATCAGACGCAAAGAAAGTAGATCACATTTCGAAAGAGGGATGCAAAATGAGACGCAAAACTTCCTCTATTTTGACTCCATTGGTCTTTGAATGAAGAATCCAGTTACCACAAAGGGACGCAAAAAGAGACGTAAAACCACCCAAATGGGATGCCAAATTAGATACAGAACAGGACATAAAATGGGCGGCATAAAATAAAACAAAAGGGCAAACAAATTAGACGAGAACTCAGAAGAAAATAAGGGCATTTCGTGTTATAGTCACGAAATTAATTTAATCTATTGATTCGTGTTCACCAACACGATTTCCCCTTTTTTTCGTGTCACACAGAACGATTTTAAAAGCAATGTATTTATCTTGGTGTTTCGTGCCTGCACCACGTCTTTTTGTCCGGTCGAGTCTTGGAATACCGGAAGCTGTGTGGTTCATAAAAACATGTTCTTACTCAATATCTTACCCTAAGCCTAACCCTTTTATTTTAAATTGTATAATGTCGGAGTTTTGTTGCCGTCCGTGAGGAAAAAGAAAAGAAATGGAGCTCAGAAACTCAGAATACTGAAATCTGTATTTTTTTTAATCTGTTTTTCCTTCTAATTTGTTATTATTTACATTGCTTTTAAAATCGTTCTGTGTGACACGAAGAAAAGGGGGAAATCGTGTTGGTGAACACGAATCAATAGATACATTTCGTGACTATAACACGAAATGCCGTGAGACTGTGTAAGGTAATAGAATAGAATAGAATATAATTCCTTTATTGTCATCGCACCAGGTACAACGACATTTTAAAAAGCAATCCTCGCAGTGCATTTCCACATAAAACGAATAAATATATATCTATATAAACATATACACATTAAACATATGCTCACACATCCATACCAACATCATGCCCGCACATTATTTAAATACAGTTTACAATAT